ACAGGTGTCATTTTTGGGTATTAACTCTTTCGAAACTTTTATACATTTCTTCAAACAATTTTAATTCAGAAGGCTTCTTTAAGCAAATAGCTAACTACTTGATATAGTCTACTTGAATTAACTTGAAAGATAAAATCAAATGTTATGTGTAAATTACAATTTCTTAGTAAAAGCTATGTTATGGGAACAAAAAAAATAAAAAAATAAAGCTATGTGAATGATTAATGATTGTCGCAATAAAAAATTTTTATTCATTCAAAATGTAGAATTCTATCGGCGCATCAGTTTGCGTTTCGTCATTACAAAAAAATCACACAATGCTTTTCGAAACACGGCTCCACCACACAATGTATAAATATAGAAAGGCATGCCATTCGATACAAAATAAATTAAAACGGCTAAATTATATAAAAAGCCATTGATGACCGTTTCGATTCGAGATTTATTCTCTTCTGAAAATGATGAATAAAATTTTTGAACAGACAATGGAAATGTAAAGATAATGAAAAGCAAAACTTGAATAAGAAGCATTCGAAGAAGACTATGATCTATTTTCTGTTTCGATTTTGCTTCTATATTCCCATTAGTTGATGTTGCCGGTTTATTCATATTAGGATTTATATTCTGTAATTTAAATGCTTGAACACGACCTTGAGAATAACGTACATTTAAAATAGTTAACAAACCAAATAAAATCATGCAAGATAACGGACATAAAATTGTAATCACAGCAAATGATAAATCAGTGATATAACGACATACGACTGTTTTACCATAACATTTCAGAGGTGTATCCATAAGATTTGCTTCATAGCAATAAAATTGTTGAGCATAGAGAAGAATTGAAAATATGACAATAATCATTGTCCATCGTTGAGCATTCTTTAATGTGCTTCTTTGTCGACGATGAACATCGATACTTGATAAAAGCCATCGATCAATAGTGGCTAATACAATTAACCATGCAGCAATTGTTCTTGTTGAAAATACAAGAAAAGCACGAAGTTTGCAAATGAATCCGATATAATTGGTTGGATCAATCATCCAACCACTAATCATTTCTGTAATAAGACCAGATAGAATAGAAATGAGATTAACAATGGATGCAGCCAGAAAAATCCATGCACATGAGTTAGAACGAAGTGATCGTTGTGAGAGGACAAGCATATTGAGAATGTTTCCCACAACACCGAATAAGAAAATAAAAACCGCAACATATCGATTTAATTGAGTTGAAATATTGTCTAATATTACGATCAGAGACTCGTTATATGATAAATTCGACATCTTTCTTTTTTAAAACAAGGGAATATGACTTTACTTTAAATAAATGGCAAAAAACTGAATCTAATTATCTATTTTTCAAAAGGTAGAGGATATTTAGAAGATGCTTAAAGCATCGCTTTATTAGACGTTTATTGAACAGAGCTTCTCAACTTTAGGTAAAATTGTCTACGCATTAGAAGTCTATCTTGAAGGAAGAGTTCGACGTACGTCATAGAAAGCTTCTCTAATTAATTTGTTACTTTATTGGAATTTGAACTGGTACATT